TCAGGTCCCGGGCGTGGAGCGAGGCCGGCGAGCGCGGCTCGAAGTTCAGCTGCATCTCCAGGTGGAAGTGGCCGGGGAGGTAGTCCAGGTCGTCGATGAGGGCGTCCACCTCCTCGGCCGCGGCCTCGGGCTCCGCCATGGCTGCCCCGCGGCTCCCCGAGCCTTGCTCCGGAGGCCGCCGTGGATGGGGGCGCCCCTCAAGCGAGCCCGGCGCGGGAGGCAAGGGTCAGCGCGCAGAGGCCCGGGGCGCAGCCACCTCCCATCCCGGGGCGCCGCCCGCCGGTGGGTGGGTCAGAGCGTCGGCTCGGGAGCGCCCTGTGGGTGTTTACGCTTTCGCAGCTCAACGGCTTTTAGACGCCCGCATTGCACAACCAGGTGTGCCTGTTAGGTGCAGTGCCAAACGCGGGGCGTGTAACCCCCGGTGCATGGCAAAAGGCGTGCTTTTACTCTCTCTGCTCAGGAGATGAGGAAACTGAAGCTCAGACGAGGAAAAGGACTTGCCCAGGTCACAGAACTGGGTGTGCCCGAACAGGCCTGGGAACCCAGTTTGCTGAACCCCAAAAAGCCAGGCCCTTCCTCCTTGAGCACTGCTCCACCCTGTGCGAGCTCACTGAACAGGAGAGTCAGGCCTGGCCCTTCCAACGCAGCACCCAAGCCACCCTCAGTCCTGCTGCTGTCCCATCCCCGACACAGTCCCTCAGTGTCCTGCTTCCTCTGAACGAAGCCCGCCCCCTCCTGCTGCTCTTCCTTTGGCCACTGTTTAGCAGGCTTCCCCGCTTGGGATTTCTCTGCCTCCTCTCTGCCCTGCAGTTGGCCCCAGTGGAAAGACGGGGCTCCAGGTGCTGGTTCTAATCACTCTGGATAACTAGCAGCTCCCACTCAGTCTGCGTTCCACCTGTGGCCCAGTTGTCTTGCTCTTGCCAGCCTTCCCCCAGGCCTGGCACCAGTCCCCTATCCTCCAGAAGATTGGGCTGTGCTCCCTGACGCAAAGCTGCTAGTCCTCCAGGACTTGGATTTTGTAGCAAGTCTGAACTTCTTCTTTTTTAAAATATTTATTTATTTATTTAGGCTGCGCTGGTGTTAGTTGCAGCATGTGGGATTTTTTTTTTTTTTTTTTAGTTGCGGCATGTGGACTTCTCAGTTGCAGCATGCATGCGGGATCTAGTTCCCCCACCAGGGATGGAACCCTTGGCCCCCTGCATTGGGAGCACAGAGTCTTACCCATTGGACCACCAAGGAAGTCCCAGGTCTGAACTTCTGAGTCCCTCCCACCCCTCATTCCATCTGGGGCTGGGCTCCTGAGACCCTGTTGCTTTATCTTCTTGAACAACACACCAGCATTTTCAGAAGAGGAAATAGAGCCAATTTGTAAACTTGGAAAAAATATTTGACTTGAGCAATAAAAAGGTAAATTAAAACAACATTCTGGAGGTATTTTTCACTTGTAATTTTATTTTATTTATTTATTTATTTGTTTGTTTGTTTATTTATGGCTGCATTGGGTCTTCCTTGCTGTGCGCGGGCTTTCTCTAGTTGCGGGGAGCAGGGGCTACTTTTCGTTGCGGTGCGCGGGCTGCTCATTGCGGTGGCTTCTCTTGTTGCGGAGCACGGGCTCTAGGTGCGCGGGCTTCAGTAGTTGTGGCTTGTGGGCTCAGTAGTTGTGGCGCACGGGCTTAGTTGCTCCAGTGCCTGTGGGATCTTCCTGGACCAGGGATCGAACCCGTGTCCCCTGCATCAGCAGGCGGATTCTTAACCACTGCGCCACTAGGGAAATCCCTCACCTGTAATTTTAAATGTAAAATTTAATAACTTTTAATTAAAAATTGTTCCTATAAATTGCTGGTGATCGTGAGATGAAACTTGGGCTCTTGACCTGCTGGGGAGGATCAGAGACAGATTTCCAGGGAGTTCAGCTTTTTTCCCCCCTTTTTATTGTCATAACATATACTTTACATAAAATTTACCATTTTAACTGTACAGTTCAGTAGCATTAAGTATATTCACATTGTGCAACCATCACTACCATCCATCACCAGAACTTTTTCATCTTCCCAAACTGAAACTTTGTACCCATTAAACAACTCTCCATGCCCTCCTTCCCCTAGCCCTGGCAACCATCGTTCTGGTTTCTGTCTCTGTGAATTTGACTACTTTATGTATCTCATATGAGTGGAATAATAATACAATACTTATTCTTTTGTGTCTGGCTTATTTCACTTAGCATAATGTCAAGGTTCATCCATGTAGTAACTTGTGTCAAAATTTCCTTCCTTTTTAAGGTTAAATAATATTCCATTGTATGTATATACCACATTTTGTTTATCCATTCATTCATCAGTGGACATTTGGGTTGTTTCCACATTTTAGCTGTTGGGAACAATGCTGCTATGAACATGGGTGTACAAATATCTGTTTGAGTCCCTGCTTTCACTTCTTTTAGCTGTATGCCCAGAAGTGGAATTGCTGGGTCATATGGTAATTCTATGTTTATTTTTTTGAAAAACTGCTATACTTTTTTTTCCACAGGAGCGGCACCATTTTATATTCCCACCAACAATACACAAGTGTTCCAATTTCTCTATATCCTTACCAACACTTGTAATTCATTTCTGTTTTGTTTGTTTGTTTGTTTTTATAATGGCCATCCTAATGGGTGGCTTTGGCTTTTGATCTGACTCTGAGAAGATTAGTAGGAGTTGGATGGGGAGGTTAGGTTGCTGGTGCATTTCAGCAGCAGGAAAGGCACATGAAAAGGCTAGAGCTTTGCCAGAGCAGGGTATGCCTAGGGACAGAGTAGCCCCATATGGCTGCAGCTTACAGAGCATGGGGAAGAGATGACAGCAGATAAGGACATAAGGCAGCAGCCATAGCCCCATCACAGAGGCCTGAATCCTGGCTAAGAAACTTGATTTGACTTTATTGACATAATAGATGGCTCTAGAGGATGGGTTAGAAACTCTTGCAAACTTAGTTATGAGCTTTGTGTCTGCTGTGTGATGCTCACTAGATGTGACCAGGGCAAGTTACTCTCTCTGTCTGATCCTTAGTTTCCTCTTCTGTATAATAGGGGTTGGAGAGGATTGCAATCGTACCTACAAGAGAGAGTTAATTGCTGTGATCAGTAAGTTGCTGTGATGGGAAAGCTTTGGGCTGATTAGAGCAGGCTGCCTTGCTGCAGAGCTGACTCACTCTGGCCTGTTCTGAGCTGCCTGGCAGCCAGAACTCCCAGCCCAGGGAACCTTGGCCTATATCCTGTGGTTATTCCTCCGTAAGTCCCAGAGCCAAGGCTCTCATGCTGCGAGAGAAGCAAAGCAGCCCCAGGCAGGGCTGGGCCTGAGAACGCCTGAGCAGTCCTGGGGCTGGTTGCAGGGCCTCCCCAGCACATAGGATGTGGTAGTGGACACAGTCACACGTCACTCACTCCTCAAAACAGCTCCACCAGGAGACTGCAGTCACGTGTCACAGACAAGGAAATTGAAGCTTAGCGAGGGTAACTTGCCCAAGGCCACCAGCTAGTAAGCAGCAGGGCTAGGATTCGAACATGATTCTCTTTGAAGATTTATGCATTACTGGGAAGCTGGGTTAAATTCATTTATTCATTCACTTGTCATTCAACAAATATTTGCTGAGCATATACTATGTGCCACGTACTGCACCAGGAGTGAATGACACACAATCTCTGCCCCTGGACCTTCTGTAAGGTCCCTTTCCAAGGGCTGGGAATGACCTCTTGTTGTGCTTCTGCTATGTTCCAGGAGCATACCTAAATTAGCTCATTTAATCTCCACAGCAGTCTGGAGATAAAGAGATTACGGGATTTATTTTATGGGTAAGAAAGTTGAGAATTGGAGAAGGAAGTGACTTGCCCAAGGTCACATGGTTGGGAAGGGGCAAAGTCCATGCTTGGATGACCTGGGGTGACTATTCTGTGTGTGTTCCCGAGGCCTGATGCCGCTCACCTTCAGCTCAGCAGTGCAGGGTGGATGCTCTGCCAACCGCGACCATGTGCCTGCCAGCCTGGGGCCCGTGAGTCCAGCTCATGGCTTAAATGCTATATTGGGATGTCAAAAGGATATTGGGTGGGGCCTGGAAGAAGACCCACTGTCCTGGTAATCCATTTCCACCACAGGCTGGAGGCAGGACCCCCCGGGAAGGTCCTGTTTCTCTCTGGTTTCAGTCTTGTCATCGTCAAATGGCGTATGGCCCTTTGCCCTACCTTAGTCTAAAACCCTTGGAGGGATCAAAGGCAATCGTGGGAGATGATATTAGACAGGCTGTAGCATGACTGTGGGGCATTGGTGGGAGATAAGGGAGGATGAGAGGAGAGAGCTGACCATGCCCTGTTGGGGGCACATACCCTCAACCCCTTTCTTTACCTAGCAAGCCACACACACTCTTCAATGTTGAGTTTGGAATTCTCCTCCTCCAGGAAGCCTTCCCTGACTTACACACCCACAGTCTGCGTCAGAGGCCTCCCTATCACACTGACCTGGTCACACTGTGTAGTCATTGTTTCCCCCACTAGACTCTCCGGGAAGGGACCATATCTGGGTCCCAGGCACCCTGCACAATGTCTGCCGAGAGTGGGTGTCCAGGTAACTGGGGGAGGAATGAGTCCTGACACCATCCCTGCAACCCTACCTCTCTCCTGACCACCTTATTCCTGCCCTCCACGCTCTGGCCCCCCTTGCCCTGTCCCTCTTTCTCCTCCTCCCCTCCCCAGAGTGGAGAAGGAATGGAATGCCCTTTGCCTAAGTCGAGCCGTTTCTGTGTGTCTCACTGGTCCCACCAGCATAAGGTGAACATCAAGAGGCCTTTGCGCTCCACCAGGCCCTGCGCGGGGCTCTGCCATAAAGCAAGAAATCAGAAACGGTTCCTCAACAAATGACTCTAAAACCCGACCAAATGGCATCCGTAGTAACCACCACGAGGGGCCATTAAATCTGCCGGGCTCGGGGAAGGATGTCTGGCAAGGCAGCAATGAAAATGTGCATAGCGGAATGGAAAAGTCGGGGACCCTGCGGGCGCGCCTGCAGGGGCGCAGCGCGGGCAAACACGCAGCGCACAGGTCTGTGGCGATCACAAATCGCAAGGCCTGGGTTGCCGTGGCAGCGGTGGCGGCGGTGGCAGAAGCCGGTCTGGCCTGCCGGCGGGCGCGGAAAAGTCCCACAGTCGAGCTCCGCGAGGACCTTGCCGCGGCAGGCGGGCCAGCGCCATGGCCACCAACTGGTTCACGGGCTCCCTTGCGGGGTGGGTGGGGGTGGTGGTGGGGGGGGTGGGGCGTAGGGCTGGCAGTGAGGGGTGGGGGCGGGACTTTCTATACCTCTCCTGCCTGCCGCACTTCCCGGCCCAGAGTCTTTTACCACCGTTATTAAGTTATTTAAAATCATTTCAGAAGCACCTACTATGTGCTGCTCAGAGAGGCCGAGTGGCCTGGCCCATAGTAGGTCACTCAGCCCAAAAGTTATGGGTAGGATTTCAGCCCAGGTGTCTTTCTTCATTCATACATATGACATATATCGTGTGTATATCATATATATATATATATATATATATATATATATATATACCACCTACTATGTTCCAGGCACAGTTCTAGCATCTGGGGATAAAATAGTGAACAAAACAGCAAAGCCCTTGCTCATGAGCTTGCCTTCATATGGGAGGGGTGGTGGGAGTGGATAATAAACAGAAAAAGATATAAAATGTTGGCTAGTGATGAGGGCTATGGAGAAAAAGGAAGTGGGGAGGGGGAGCCTGCGAGTACAAGGGGTGGTGCGGCTGGTGGTTGCACTGAGAAGGTGATTTTGAGTAAAGGTTCCCAGCAGGGGGTTAGGGGACCAGACAAGGGTGGAATCTAGGGAGAGGGAACCTGGAAGGGCGAAGACACTGAGGAGGCAGCAGCCCTGCTCATCCTTCATGGGCCAGCTCCGAAGTCACCTCCCGTGGGATGCCAACTTCCCCACCACCCAGAACTGCCCTCATCAGGGCTGGGTGCCTCTCACTGGGCATCTGTCCCTCCCAGGTTTGACGTCTCCGCTGTCTATCCCAACCAGAAGAAGTTCAGCGCCTTCAGGGAGGCCCCGTGCTCCAGGGTTTACTCTGTGGACGTGGTGAGTTTGCATAGCTTACCGAGTCTCCCACGTGGTCTGGCCACTGCCCCTCCGAGTCCCTCCCCATGACAGATGAGCTGATCTGTGTAAGGGACATGCCTCACACTCCTCCGTGCCCTCAGCCCACAGCTCAGAGCTTGACTCAGAGCTGGGGCCTCAATGTGTTTGATAAACGCAGGACTGTAGTGAAAACAGCATGGGTCGGATCCACAGAGACCTGGGCTCCACTTGCAGCTCTTGCACAGACTGGCTGCGGGCCCTCTCTGAAGTGTAAGGGGGCCAGTGACAGAGAACGTCATGGTTGCACCTTGAGGGCCAGGCTCGGGGCTGGGGGAGGGGCCCCCAGAGGGGTATTGCCTGTCCACTCCCAGGTCAGGGTGACAGCTTGGCAAGGACTTGCTCTGTGGGTGGACTGGTGGGTGCGGCTGGCCTCGCTCGGACTGTGCCCCGACTCAGTCCCACATAGGACCTGGGACCTATGGCTACAAGGAGACCTGCTTCAGCATCAAGAAGTTGAAGAAGGAGGTGGGCACAGGCTGTGCCAAGGCCCAGGAAGCCACCCGGCTGACACAGCTGCCCCACTTCCAGTACCAGGCCATGCTGAAAGAGAAGCGGCAGCAGGTGAGGCCCCTGGGGCCCCACGCTGCCCTACCGCTGGTGCCAGGTCCTCCTGCCTGGTCCTGCCTGCCCCAGGGTGGCCTGCAGTGTCCTCCCAGGCCCAGGTAGAGCTCATCCCTTAAGGAACACATCCTCGCCTGGGCTCCTGCCCGCGTGGACATTCCCAAGTGTAAAGTTTTCACCTCTGCTCTCTTCTCTTGGGGCAGAAGGAAGAGCTGGGGCCTGGCTCCTACAACCCCAACGACTTCTTAGAAGAGTTGTAGGAGAAACGGGACAGCACCCGGGGGCTGCTCAGCTCCGGAGAGTTTCGCTTCCGAGGACTCGTTGGGGTAGGTGTTCTCATACACGGAGTGGGACCCCTCCTACCCTCTGCTCTGTCTGAAGGGCACGCAGCCTGGCTGGGGCTGGAAGCACCCTTTCTCCTACCGGTCTTCTTCCCAGGCTTGGCCAGCCTCCCCTCTGGGGCCCCGCAGCCCCTCTGCTTTCCAGTGCCACAGCTTTCAGCCCACTGGCTGTCGTAGGTTTCTGTGTCTCCTCCACCAGACCAGGAGCTCCCTGCCGGCAGGGGTGGGTCTGGTTCATCTTTGAGTCCGTGGCACAGAGCCAGGCATACATTAGGTGCTCAACAAACTCCTCCATATCTATAGCCATCCAGCCATCCAGTAAATAATGGTTGAGCGCCCTCTAGTGCCACGTAATGTTCCAGGCCCTGGGGATCCAGCAGTGATGAAAACAAGGTCCCTGCCCTCATGGAGCTGTGGTCCTAGTGGTAGAAACAACGGTACAGAGAAACAAGTCACATATAATGAAGGCCATGGGGTAAAATGAGACAGGGAGAGATGGCGAACGATGAGGTGCCATTTATAGGGTAGTCAGGGGAGACCTCTGGGAGGAGGTGGTGTTTGAGCAAAACCTGTGGTAGGTGAGCAATGGAGACTCACGGAATCTGTGAGTGAGGGGGGAGGAGGCAAGAGCAGAGGGGTGAGGACCAGGACATGAGGCCCTTCTGGCAAGGTGAGGGCCTTGGGTTTGATTCCAGGTGCTGTGGGAGGACAGCGGAGGAGGGTTTTGCTCTGTGTGTGGGGGTACTGAGTGACATGCTTGTGGGGGAGGGGATCGGAGGCATCCAGATGGGAGGTGACTGTGGTGAGAGGTGGGGGTGGCGGGAGGGCTGCCGTGGCATCGGTGTGGGTCGGGATGAGTGGGGTTCAGGCTCCATAGGGTCATGCGGGCGAAGGCGGGAGTCACACCCACGCTGCCAGTGCCACCCCTCCTCCCCTGCCCCTCATGCTCCCTGGGCTGGACACCCTTACCCTCCTCACTCCTCAAAGTGAGGCAAAGCACTCGCCCTGTGCTTTGCCCCTGCTCTCCCCTCTACCAGAAGTGCCATTCCGCCCCCAGCGGCCCCTTCACCTAAGGAGCCCCTGCTCATCCCTCAGCTCTCAGCTCCGAGGTCTGACCTGACCCCATGAGGTGCCATCTCCCTTTCCCAGGAGCTCCGATTGTGGCTGTGAGTTCAGTGTCTCTCCCCCAGCGCACAGCAGCCCCCAAGGGTGGACCACATCTGCCCGGTTGGTTCGCTGCAGAATCCCCAGGTCCTGGCAGCGCCTGGCACATAGTAGGCACGTGATAAGTCTTCGTGGACTAAGCCCATGCCTGCCTACTAACTACTGGTTCTCCAAAACACTCTAATTTTTTATAACCGCTCCAGACGAGGCCCTGGAGGCTCAGAGAGGATAAACATCTTGCCCCAGTGGGCCAAATGGGCAAACCCCAAGCCAGGGCCTTTCCTCCACACCTCACCGCTGTGAAGCCTTCTGTGGAGCCTGGGAATTACTCCTTGCCACGTTCAGGGGACGTGCACGTGCACCCCCAGGTTCAGAAGCTGTAACTGCACTGTGGGGGTAGGGGCTGCCTGGAGGCCCTGAAAAATGAGTGATTTCCTTCAAGTCTAAAGTAATAATAGCCGACACGCCATGCAGCACTTGCCATGCGCCAGGCACTGTTCTAAGCACGTGAGTGAACTAATGACTGTAATCCTCACCACAGCCCTGTGAAGCAGGCACTATCATTGCCACTTACAGACAGAAAACCAGCACAGAGAGGTTAAGTGACTGCCCAAGGTCACAGAGCTACTAAGCGGCAGAGGCAGGATTGAGTCCAAGGTGTCCACACATAACAACTGCACTTGACCCGTAGGCTGGGCTCACTTGGTTTGTTCCTTGACCATCTGTGGAGGACAGGATCTAATGGCAGAGCCCAGCCCCACTGAAGGCAGAGGAGTTGGGGGAACAAATCAGATGCTGTCTGTTTCCTCCTGTGTCCGGTCCCCAGCGCTGGAGCATCTGCGAGGGTCCCACGGCCTGTCCCTCCGTTCCAGCTGTCTCTTCTCCTCTCTGGTCCCCACATCTGCTCCTGCAGTAACCTCACTGGGCCCTGCGGGATTTCCCCGAGCCACTCTCCTGGGCTCAGGGCTGGACAGAAAGTTCAAGGAGGTGGCACTGCCCCAGTGGGCAGAAGGCAGCCCCGGGAGAGCTCACATCCAAGGCCTGGGAACCTGATGGCTCCCCCTGGCCTCTGGTCCCTCCAGTTGTCCCCCCAGTGTGGGTGGGACCGGCCTACAAATGCCACCTGTGCAGGGTGCTGACTCCTCCATGGGGGCCTCCGCAGTGCCAGTGCCAAAGCTGTGGGTGCCTGCTTTGGGTCCTGTGAATCCTTCCCCAGAGCGGATGGGCTGTTGAAGCACACCCCTGCAAAGCCAGTGCCTTCTGTGCTGGCACTGGGCTCTGCCTCCATCCTCCTCCTAGTACGCTCTGCCCTCCCTTGGCTGTGGGGACACTGGGCTGTGTGTCCTTGGAGCTCCTCCGCCAGCCTCCCTCCATGGCTTCTCTTTCCCAGGCCCTGCCCTCCCCACCACCCTCTGTGGGGTGTTCTCTCTTGCGCAGCCAGGCTCCATGCACATGGCTTCAGATCCCCACCCCGGGGTCCTCCAGGCTCCTCAAACTCTTCATGCCCCCCTCCTGCCATGTCAGCATCTCCCACAGGGCTGCTCTTCCTAGGCAATGGCACCGCCCAGCGGCCAGAGCCAGAAGCCCATGGGCAACTTGTTCCCCTGTAGTCACGGGGGTCTGTGCTTCTGTCTCCCGTCCTCCTCCTTCCATCCCCTTGACCTCCGCCCAAGCCCAAGCCACACTGCCCCTGCCCAGGGGCGCCCCCTGGACTGATTTCCTGGTCACCTACTATTGCCCCAGTCACCTTCCGAAGTGTCCTCATGCCCCAGAATCAAGTCTGGATGCCCCGCTTGGCCTTCAAGGCCTTCCCATTCTCTTCCCAGTATACCTTTCCCAACTGTCTCAAAGGTGCTCTTGTGGCTCCCTCTACCTGGGACACCTGTCCCGCCCCTTCATCTTCTGGGAAGATGACTCTTTCTTCAAGGTCCACCTAAAAAAAAATCTTGTAAATGACAATTCCCACTTCCCCCAGAATTAAGCACTCCTGCCTGGGTCCCAGAAGCCCTGAAACATAACATTCTAGCTAAAGTCAGGGGCGTTCACATCAGCCCAGGTGTGTTGCTGCACCTCTGAACCCGAAGGTTTGAAGGGAGAGATGAGGCTTTGCCGACAGAGTGCCGGCACTGGGCTCCTCCTGGTCTGTGAGCTCCGGGATAAGCAGCTCCACCCCTTTGTTATAACCCTCGCTTCTGAGGTCTCCCTAGACACCGTGGTGCTTATTTCTCTCCCACCTCTTGTGCCTGCACAGTGCCTGGGAAACAGTAGAAGCTCAGAGGATCATGCATGGATTTTGAAGTTAGAACCCTTGTGCTGCCCCTTTCTGGAGGTGGGACCTTGGACACAAGGCTTGCCTCTCTGAGACTCAGTTTCCCCATCTATTGATTGCAAGCGGCACTGATCTGATCTCATCAGGATGTCTCTAGGACCAAGATATTAAGGCTAGTAAAGCAGCCAGCACAAGACGTTGAGACCCACCTTCCTACTTTGGGGCTTTTCTCCTGAACATACCTGGAAACCCTGGGCCCTGGAAGGAGGCAATGTGCCTTCTGGTTCCTCTGAGGCTGAATGAATCTGATGCCTGCCACGGCCTGACTACCCACCCTCTCTGTCAGACCTGGTTCTGGGCTGCTTCCTGGGAAGTTCCAGGGACTGGAGGTAGGCAGGGCTGAGCCATATGTGGAGTGGCAGCGATCCCGTGTGGCTAAAAGGTGCAAAGCAGCAGAAAACATCCTGCCGGGTCTTGACCCAACGATGGCTACCCACTCACCCACCTATACTGCAGGGTGGCTCTTCTCATTCCACCTACAAAGGCCATATTTTCGACCCTGGCAGTCGAGGCTCCAGATCCTCATTCCAGCCACAGTTCTCAACCTCTCCTACCTCTTTCTCTCCTACCCCGCCCCACCGAGACAGCCACCCCACCCTGACTTATTAGGTGTTGGCACCCACTATGGGCTGGGCATGTGCAGGAAGCTTTATAGATGTTATTTCATATCATCCTCATTACCTTGGAAGAAAGTTCTACTATCCCTGTGCTTGAAATGTGGGCCATGGGGCTAAGGAGTAAGTGGCATGCCCAAGGTCACTCAGCCAGGAAGCAGTGGAGTCAGGATTCGAACCCAGGCCTCCGGATCCCTCCAGGTCACAGCACTGTTTGCAGCACAGTGGGAAACCCATGCGTGTAAACGTGGGGCTGTAACACAGGGGTGTCGTGGTTGGGATTTCCGAGACCACCAAAGCAAGCAGCTGTCTGGGGTGATCAGGGAAGGAAGGCTTCATTCCCAGGAGAGATGACATTCGAGCTGGCTTTGCAGGATTAGAAGAACCTTCCAAGGCCAAGAAGGCGGGAAGGGCATTTTGGGTGGCAGTAATGGCACAAGCAAGCAAAGGCGAGGAGGTTGCCGGAATGGCATAGGTGTGGGGACCAGCAAGGACCTCACTTTGGCTGAAGCGTCAGATGTAGGAAGGGAACAGTGAGGGATAAGCTGGACAGACCAGTGGGGCCCCAGTGAAGTCTGAACTTGGAACTGAAGGTCTGAGCAGTGGCAGAGGCTCACAGGCCTACAGTGCTGTGTGTTTTGGGGGGCAGTTAACACACAGGGACTCTGAAAACCCCGTCACCCTCTGGAGGGCATCTCTTCTTCAGGCACACTCAGCAGCACAAGGCGCGGGACTAACAGCCTTTATGTCCCCCCCTCTCGCCCCCAGAGCTACTGTCCAGGCCCTGGAAACCATGGGGAGAAGGGCAACCCATACACGAAGCTGGAGGACAGTGCCTGGGGCTGGTCTCATTCCAAGGGCCTTATGTGCAGGATGACAAACAAACCGCCCCCCTTGGCTCATCAGGTATCCCCCTACCCTGGCCAGGCCTCACCCACCTTGCTGCGCAGACCTGGTGGGGGGGACTCCAGGGCAGACGGGGAAACCGAGGCCCCAAGGGGTGATGGACCTGCAGGGATTGTCCTCTGTGCTCTGTTCCAGGGGAGCAGTCTGGCACTGGGCACCTACACTTTCAAAAGTGGCATCGAGGCGTACCTGGCACGATCCATGGGCACCCGTGGCCTCTATGACACTTTCTCTGGTGACCAAAGCAAGCTTCAGCCTTATGGACATTACTCTGTGGAGGTGTGTACCCAGGCGGGCTATGCCTTCCCTGGCAGGAAAACAGGCCTCACCTATCCACAGCACCCTGCGTGCCAGACTCTGCGCAGGACTCTTCCCATAGCCTGCTCACTCCCCGCTCCCAGCTAGGGCAGGGTAAGGCGCCCTGTGTTAGAGGAGGAGACTGAGGCTAGCCACGCAGCTGGTAGGGGCAGAGCCGGGATTGAACCCCACGGCATCTGTCTGGCTTCACCTCCAGTCCCCTCTCCTCTGTACCAGCACGAATTGCAGGGGAGGTGCAGGGGGCCCCAGCACCATGCCTGGATGGGAGACAGGCTGCCAGGCCTGCAGGGACCTAGATGGTGCAGGCCTGGGTGTCCTGCTGTTTGGGAGACACTTCCCAGCCATCTCAGACCCAGCTAAGCTGACTGGGTTAGTGGCAGAGAGCTGGGAGGGGAAGCTGAGGTAGAATTTTAGCTTGATGCCCCCCTTTCCTGCACCAGTCAAATTCCTGTTGTGTGATCCCTAGCACCGTGGGCTTTGCTTTCATAGTAATTGGACTTAAGTATTTGTCTGTTTATTTTGTCTCTACTGTGCCTTCACTCATGTGTGCCTTGGACCAGGTAATCGTCTAAGTGCAGGGGAACCTGCTCCAGTGGTGCTTACTTTCTAGTAAGTGCTTACTTTCTAGTGCAAAAAGAAACACAATCGCAAGTGAAAACAATATAGAATGTTAGCAGGGAGTGCGTGCTGTGGTAAAGGCATCAGGAGTGCTAGGAAGTGGGGGTGGTGAAATGTTGAAATTCTTTGGGACCAGCTGGTAAATAGCCACTGAATGAGCCCTGCAACCTGGCTCCTCCCTGGGGCTTCCCTGGCCTCCCCATGACCAGCTACTAAGGTGTCCTGCCAGCAGAGCAGGGGCCTCAGACGCTCCGTAGGCCCTAGAGCCAATGCCCAGGCCACAGGATATTATTTTGTGTTATCTAAAAAATAGAAATTTTAAAGAGCAGTTTTAGGTTCACAGCAAAATCGAGCAGAAAGTACAGGGTTCTCATGTTCCCTCTGTCCCCGTACATGCCCAGGCCCCCACTATCAGTAATCGGCACCAGAGGGGAACATTTCTTACAATCAGTGAATCTACATTGACACATTATTATCGCCGAAAGTCCATGGTTTACATTAGGGCTCACTCTTGGTGTTGTACATTCAATGGGTTTGGACAAATATATAATAACATGTATCCACCATTATAGTATCATACAGAGTAGTTTTGCTGCCCTAAGAATCCTGAGTGTTCCCCCGTCACACTGGTTTTTAAATATTCGGACTATCACTCCTTCCTACTTAGAACAGTGCCTGACTCAGTAAATGTCCACAAAACAAGTGAAAGAAAGAAGAAATGGATGAAGGCAAGCTGGGCTGCAGGGCACCGCACGGAGGAGGGGCTGTTAGAGACCCCATCAGACTGACCCCGCCCCTGGCTGGGGGGCTTCGTCTCTGTTGCCCAGGTCAGGGTGGACTGGCCTGGCCATGGGACAGTGGCAGGCGTGGGGGAGAGTGATGCCCCATTGGACCACTGCTTGTCTCTGATTGTGGTAAGGGTCCAGCATCGCAGCTCTTGCTTTTCCTGACGTAACATATTCTTTTTCCTCCTCTGTTTCTCAGAAAAAACGGCCCAGGGAACTGATGAATTTCAAGAGCTTCGTGGAAGAACTTAACTCATGTCACAATAAGAAGCGTGGAGTTTTTTCAAAAGTTCCCCGCAACCCGGAAGCCCCTCCAGAAAGAATTTATTGGGCCACACTTAGCCAGTGTCCCCCAAAACTAGTCACTGTGCCCCTATGGCCTTCCTTCCTTCTTCTCTTGGAAGGGGGCTTTCCTGCGGGGGCAGGGTGGGGTGGAAGTGGCTATTTCAGCCGAAAGCTCACCCTTGGGTACCAGACTCACCTGGTTCCCAATCCTGATATTGTACTTACTAGTCACATTGGATCAGTGTCTGTCACTCTCTGAGCCTTGGTTTACATGCTTGTCCCGTGAGCATGACCAGGTGGCTGTGAGAATTCATTGAGGTTAGTACTAGAGCCTATAGCATGGAGCCTGGCACCTGGGAAGTGCCCAGTGGGCATTGATCTCTGCCCCTCCCTCCCCTGCAGAGAGGATGAGGGGAAAACTGGAGCGGGACCAAGTGTGAATAAGGGGTCTGCCCGACAGAAGGCCGCACACCGGTTCTGTTTAGGGGAGCGGTGGGCTCCTTTCTGGGGGCTCGGCAGCCAGTCATCTGAGTAGGCTCTGGACATTAGTCGACCCCCAAGCAGGTTCTGCCCCCCAGGGAGGGAACTGCTAAGGGCTTGGGAAGGTGGGCGTGTCCAGAGGAATGAAAAAGGGTACCAACATTTCCTGAATACCTGCTCTGGGGAGGGCACATTTCAGCCCCCTGGAGGGAGGGATTGTCTTTTGCATTTCATGAAAGGAAACCGAGGCCCAGAGATAGGAAGGGATTTGCCCAGGCTCCCAGCAAGGGGGAGGAGCCAAGATTGGAGCCCAGCTCATTTAGCTGCAAAGTCCGTGTGGCTTCTGCTCCCCAGACTGGGGTCTGGAGCACCTCTCTGGACCCTGCCAGACCGGGAGAGCCCTTGGGAACCTGGAAAGAGGTTTCAGGCTGATGGGTGGGCATAGAGTGGGTGGCAGGGGTCATGAGAGTACCACAGGGCCCCTTCATCCCCAGAGGATGGGCTCCTGGTAAGTTGGGGGGTGGCCAGGTACCTCCTACCATCCTTGGCTCAAGTCTCAGGGCTGCCAGGGGGGTGAGGTCAGCTGCCCAGAGCCCTCATCAGGCCTGGCCCCAGGCTGACCACCGCCAGACCTTGCCAAGCTTTCAGCCTTTGTTCCTCACCTCTAGGCCATGTCTGGTCCCCATACGTGGCTTCCTCCAGAGAAGGAATGCAAACACATCAACCAACCACCGTTCCTGCTGTCTCCCAAGCGGATAGGCATAAAGGCCTCCCCGATGATTCTGGGAACCTGGGTGAGTGCGTCTGGGTAGGGGATACACAGTGAGAAGCAGGGAACACTCTCCTAATTCTACAGGCAGCCCCAAGTTCTCCTTCCCCCTGGGAACTGATGCTCTGAGGGAGCCCACCCCACCTCTTCTTTTTCTACCAGGAACTAACACCCACTCCCACTGTCTCATTTCTCTCAGGCAGAGGTTTTTTCATACTTGAGCGGGCATCAGCCTCACCTGGAGGGCTTGCCCCATGCCAGACCTTCTGATTCAGTAAGCCTGGGGTGGGGCCTGGGAACTTGCATTTCTAATGAGTTCTCAGGTGATGCTGATCCTGTGTTCCAGAGACAAGTTTGAGAACCACTGTGCTAATGGACATCACCCAGAGCCATCCCACTCTCTTATTTTCTAGGGAAATGCTCCCTCCATTCTCTTCATATTTGTCTTGAGACCTCAGGGGCAGCTCAGGGAGTTGGCCCATTTCTCATCTCTGGTTGAGCAAGAACCCTCTCCTCCCCCTCCCCTCTCCTCCCCCTCCCCTCCCCTCCCCCCCCCCCCCCCCCCCCCCCCTCCCCTCTCCTCCCTCTCCCCAGAGGCAGCCATCCCCCATATATGACGTAATCTTCGGTTTGTTGGTGTTCTTGTAAGACAGCTAAGCTCTTGCCTTCGTGTGCCTGCCTTCTTCATGCACCAGATGGCATTGGGCATCAGCCTCATTCCGTTTCTCATTCCTGTCCTTCATTTTTTAAGCCCACCTTTTACTGGGGTCTAATAACCATACAGAAGGGAGCATGAGTCCTAAGTGAAGAGCTCCATGAATTGTCACAAAATGGACTCACCATGTAACCACCCCCCAGAGGGTTGAGGGGCACGTTTCCAGCACCCCAGGGCCACCCCCCAACCTCCCTCCCCATCAGGTGGTTCCTCTCCTGGCTTCCAGTAGTGCAGGTTAGTTTTGCCTGGTTTTGAACAGCTGTTTTTTTTTTTTAATTAATTTTTTAAAATTTAATATTTAATAGACAGTGCAAACCATAGTTTCATCTGATTATAAACGTATGAGGTATCTATCAGTTATCACAAACAGCAACAAGGACCTTAGAGCTACGTTAGAAACATGTATAGCTGGGACTTAACTCTGACAATCTCATGCGCTCTCAAGAGAACTCCATCCGTTTCAAATCAGTGTCACAAACTCCAAAAAGACCAGGGGAGTGGGACTGAGGAGTGGGCCAGCGTGGGAGACACAGGGGCCAGTACACAGGTGATGGACAGAAATACAGCTCTCAAGGAAACCAAAATCAGATGCATTATTACAGCTAAGGGCAAGGAAAAGCTTATGGCTTTTAAAAAACAACTCCTGGGCTTCCCTGGTGGCGCAGTGGTTGAGAATCCGCCTGCCAAGGCGGGGGACACGGGTTCGATTCCTGGTCCGGGAAGATCCCACATGCTGCGGAGCAACTAAGCCCGTGTGTCACAACTACTGAGCCCGCGTGCCACAACTACTGGAGCCCGCGTGCCGCAACTACTGAAGCCCGCGTGCCTAGAGCCCATGCTCTGCAACAAAAGAAACCCCCGCAATGAGAAGCCTGCACACTGCAAGGAAGAGTTGCCCCCACTCGCCGCAACTAGAGAAAGCCTGGGCGCAGCAACGAAGACCCAACACAGCCAAAAATAATTAAACAAAATAAATAAATTTATTAAAAAAATACAAAACAACTCCTGCCAGTACCATACAAGTCTTACAAAGAGATGTGTGACAAGTCAGCTGACTTTAAAGGACAGAGGCTACATTTTCAGGTCATTTCAACTGCAAACGGTCTACCCTATCCATTGAGGTTCAGCAGTGGAGTCAGTGTAGTCCAGAAGCTCAATGTTGGATTTGCAAATACAGTTTATTTTACAGAAAGTCAACATTATAAACAGCAGGCACCTCCCCCGCCCCTTGCCTGTCCCGCTGGGTGCAGACCATGCTATGCAGAGTGAGCAGTGATGCTGCCCTACTGCTTTGGAGGAAGATTCGAGAGTGATGGAACCTGCCTGCCCTGCACACGCACGTGCCTGCCCTCCGCGCAGGCCATCAGACCGGGCCCAGCCCGCACTGGACCGGTTAAGTGGATCCAGCCCAGGTCTCCAATTCCTTCACGTCGTCGTCTTCCTCTTCCTTCTTCTTGGTGGGTTTTGTTGGTAGGGATATAGAGGGAACATTTGGTAGAGGGACTGTTTCCGGTCCACTGATTTCCAGCATATTCTTGTCTAGTTCCTCCTGTTCTAGTTCTTCTAATTCTGTCACGAGCTCCTCCTCGTCAAACTCTTCTCCAAACCCTACAGATTTTGAAATAGCTGTTGAAGTTTCTTCTGCAAGTTCCTGCTGGTCAGCAATGTCCTGCGTTAACTCATCAGCTTTATCGACGTCCATGTTGTCGTGGGCAGCCTTCATGGCCTTGGTGGCATAACCCACGTTCTTGAGCACCTCGGTGCTGGTGTTGGCATTCTCCAGGGCCTCTCGCTGGAACTCGATGGTTGACAGCGTGCCGTTGATCTGTACCAACTGCTTTCCATACCTCTTTTTGCGCTTCAGTGCCTAGAGGGCAGCACACTTGATTTTGGTGTCGTGCTTCTTGGCGGCCATCAGCTCCTGCTCTATCTTCTTCTCCAGGAATTCTTCCTTCTTACTTAGTATCTCCTCTGTGTTCCAAAGCCTCTGGATGGCCTCCCGGGGGTGGGGGGGTCGGGCCGCCCTTGCCGGCTTTACCCCCTCCAGCCCCGAACAGCTGCCCAAACACTGACACTGCTGCTGCTGGACGTGCCAGCCTGCCCTGCCACCCCCTGCTGCCGCAGCCCTCCTGAACAGCTGTGTATTTTTAAGCTGTGGCTTTCTCCTGGTTTCCCTGGGAACATCTTGCTTGGAACCTGCCTTTCTACTAAGCTCCCCCTGCCCCATCCCGCAGGCCCACACCCCAGCTCTCCCTTTTCCACTCCACCTCCTTGTCTCCCAAGTGATGCCTTGGCCCCCAGTGTGCCCACACCCCCTGCCCTGCTCGGTTCTTGTGAGGTCCAGATGATCAGGTCCCTACATTCTTCCTTTTCTCACCTCCAGCCTGCACCTCCTCCAGGGGAGAGAGTCTTCGCCTGGGGACCCAGTCTGACCTTGGGACAGATTCTATACAAATGGCAGGTTCCTGTCCTGCCATTCTCCTGCCCTCACTAGTCACTCTGGACAGGCTACATCTCCTCTCTGAACTTCTCCACTGGCGCTTCTTGTACCTACCACCCAGGTTTCCCGGTGGGATGGTGGATTAATTTCCTAAAGCTGCCATAACAAAGTATCACAGACTAGATGGCTTAAAACAACAGAAATGTATCCTCTCTCAGTTCTGGGAGCCAGAAGTCTGAAATCCAGGTATCGACAAAACCGCATCTCCTCTGAAACCTGTAGGGCAGAATCCTCCCTGGCCTCGTTGTAGCTGCTGGTGGTGGCTGGCAATCCTTGGAACTCCTTGGCTTGTAAATGCATCACCCCAGCCTCTGCCTCCATGTTGTATGGCCATCTTCCCCCTGTATGTCTCTGCTTTTGAGGACACTAGTCACATTGGATTAAGGACCCACCCTACTCCGGCATGAGCTCATCTTAATTGATTACATCTGCAGCTATTTCCAAATAAGCTCACACTCTGAGGTCCTGGGGATTAGGACTTCCACATCTCTTTGTGGAACATGATTCATTGTGTAACAGATGGAGTAAGGAGGAGCCTAGAGGGAGAGGAGGAGGCCTGAGATCAAGTTTCCAAGCCAGGCATCCAGCTTGTTAACGTCCTGCCTCTTCTCCCTGGTGCAGAACCCGGTGGTTGTGGGTCACTACCTCAACACCCAGCTGATGGAGACAAAGGACCATCGGCGATACCGGTCCCTGTTCATGGGTGGATCCAAGCACTACCTCTCGGACCCAGTCCAGGACAGGCTCATGCAGTGAGTGCCACTGGAGCTCCAGCAGAGGGGCAAGGGCACAGAGGGGCTTACTCTGGGCTGGGCTGGGGGCTCCAGCATCTTGTGCTTGGTTCCCATGGGAGCACAGCTGCCGCCCCTAGTGCCAGACAAACAGCTGTGGTAGTGGAAAGAGTTCAGATCCTGGCTCTGATGCTTACTGGCTGTGTGAGGTGGGGCACATCGCTTAACCGCTCTGAGCCTCACTTCCCTCAGCTGTCAATGAGCAGGGGACGGTGGAGACCCAAATGGAATATTCTGTCTAAAGTTGGTGGTAAGGAGAAAAGGAACTCCATCGAGGCTAACTCCTCCACCCACAACCCACACAGTCTAGGATTGCCTTGCATGGCATCACCACATGGAATCTGCTTCTTGGTGTTGAAAACGGGGCTGGTAAAACTCACCTCAGGAAGTTGTTGTGAAACCTAAAGGAAAAAGTGCATGGAATACTGTGGCTAACTGTAAAACAGCTTGCAAATGTTAGCTGCCGCTGCCGCCATGTCTTATTGACCTAAGATACCATCAATTGCCGTATAATCTCAACTTCAGAAATGTTAAAATATGAATAAACATGCACTTTAGAACTGGAAATTCTGTCATTCTGTCATCGGAAATTCTGGTGAGAGCATGAGGACCAGATTCTGGGGGACCAGATCTAAATATTTAAAAACAGCTTTTAGGGCTTCCCTGGTGGCACAGTGGTTGAGAGTCCGCCTGCCGATGGAGGGGACACGGGTTCGTGTCCCGGTCCGGGAAGATCCCACATGCCGCGGAGCGACTGGGCCCGTGAGCCATGGCCGCTGAGCCTGCGCGTCCGGAGCCTGTGCTCCGCAACGGGAGAGGCCACAGCAGTGAGAGGTTAAAAAAAAAAAAAAAAAAAACCCAGCTTTTAAAAACTTTTAATCAAAGTGGACCTGTGTCTTCTTTTTTTTTTTTTTTGCGGTATGCGGGCCTCTCACTGCTGTGGCCTACTCCCGTTGCGGAGCACAGGCTCCGGACGCGCAGGCTCAGCGGCCATGGCTCACGGGCCCAGTCGCTCCGCGGCATGTGGGATCTTCCCGGACCGGGACACGAACCCGTGTCCCCTCCATCGGCAGGCGGACTCTCAACCACTGCGCCACCAGGGAAGCCCATGTGTCTTCTTTCTTGATTGACACTCTTGTTTTGGTGGATTCCTTAGAAAGGGTAATGGAAGGTGCCATTTTTGATAGACTACATGCCTGAAAAAGATTCTTCTTCCTCTCTGCACAGCTGATCAGTAGTTTGGCTGGAAGTAAAATATAAGTTGGAAATAATTTTCCCTGGGAATTTTGAAGGCTTTGCTCCATTGCCTTCGACCTTTAAGCATGGTTGTTAAGAATTTTGATGCCATCTTGGTTTCCTGTCCTTTGTATGCAACCTGCACCTTCCTCTCTGGAAGCTTTTAGGATCTTCTCTCTGTCTCTCGTGTACTGAAATTTCTTGACGATGGGTCTACTGTGAGTCTTTTTTCATCCACTGCTTTGGGTACTTAATGGGTTCCTTCCTTATGGAAACTCAGGACCATCTATTCTGGGAAAATTTTTTGTGTTTTTGTCTTTAGTGATTTCCTCCCTTCTGTGTTCTATTTTTAGATGAATGGTAGACATTCTGGTTTGATGCTCTAGTTTTCTTATCTTTTTTCCCTTATTAAAAAAAATTTTTTTAAATTTTTGGCTGCGTTGGGTCTTCGTTGCTGCACGCGGGCTTTCTCTAGTTGTGGTGAGCAGGGGTTACTCTTTGCTGTGGTGCATGGGCTTCTCATTGCGATGACTTCTCTTGTTGCAGAGCACAGGCTCTAGGCATGCGGGCTTCAGTAGTTGTGGCACATGGGCTTAGTTGCTCCACAGCATGTGGGATCTTCCCGGACCAGGGCTTGAACCTGTGTTTCCTGCATTGGCAGGCGCATTCTTAACCACTGCGCCACGAGGGAAGCCCTTCCCCTTATTTCTTATTTCTTTCTTTTCTCTCCTACTTTCTCTAAATTTTGTTCCACCCTGCTATTGCCTTTTGAAAATTTGGCTCTTATGTTTTTCAGTTTCTGAGAGTACTTTTGCATTGTGGATTGCATTTCTTTTTCTTCTACTAGCCCCCAGTGCTCTGTCACGTATGCAGTGTGTTCTTTCATTTAAGGATGACAGTGAGTCTTCCTTCAGTTTCCTTTTGCTCCCTGAATTGTCTCCACTTCTTCCCAGTTCCTTTTTCCTTTCCGTTGATCATATTTGGGAGGAAAGCATTAAGAAATGCTGTGAGTCTGGGTAGGGCTTCACTGGGAGTGATTGGATCGGGCTCTGGTCATTCCACTGGGACACCTTCAAAGTCAATGTTTCTAGGGGCTTTCTGTGGGACCATTCAGCTTCTCTAGAAAAGGATCCTGCATCCTGGGGGGCAGGGGACAGTGGTGAGTGTGGTTGCTGGTGTTTAGGGGAAGGAGGCTGGGGGTCACAGTCAGTATATGGACTTCCACCTACTCCGTCTGTGCTCACTATGGTGCCTGTCTGCCCACCTGCCACTGAGCTCCCCCAACCGTCCCCCACCCTGAGTCTCTCTCAGCACTAACCCTCCAGTCTCCTGCTGGGTGGGTGAAGCGTGTGTGTTCAGGAGTGTCCAACTTTCCCCTTGTTTTTGATTATCGGTCTTGAGCCTGCTTTGTGAGACACTGGTGCCTCCAATTCTTGGACCTCTCTGGGGTTTGCCGCAGGAGCTGGCAAGCTTCTCATTGGCTCCCCTGCTGAAGGTAGCTTGCTCTTAGGCCCTCTCAGCTCTGTTGATGCCTCCCTGCACATTGCATTTCCCCGAAATATGTTAACACCCTTGTCCCCTGATAACACTTCTCCCTTTCTTGTTTGTCTATTGAAAAACAATCCCTTTATAGTTCTTTTAGCAAATTGTAGGAAGGAATAGAGGGAAATGAGTGGATTCATCTGCCTTGTTTGACTGAAAGCCATGTGGACCACTTTTAGTGTGCAAAAGCATGTTCTTGCCTTTTCTAACCAAGGTGGTTAGCCTTCTTTTTTTTTTTGCGGTATGCGGGCCTCTCACTCTTGTGGCCTCTCCCGTTGTGGAGCACAGGCTCCAGATGCGCAGGCTCAGCGGCCATGGCTCACGGGCCCAGCCGCTCTGCGGCATGTGGGATCTTCCCGGACCGGGGCACAAACCCGTGTCCCCTGCATCGGCAGACGGACTCTCAACCACTGTGCCACCAGGGAAGCCCGGTTAGCCTTCTTTTGCAGTTGTTCAACTGGACCAGAGAGAGGAACAACTTGCCCAAGGTCACACAGCTGGTAGTGATAGAGCTGGACTAGACTCCAGTCCTTTCCTCCTAGATCAGGGCCCTTTCCACACACCAGTGCCCTTGTGAGGATTTGGGGGCGGGGTGTTGCTGGGAAGAGTGCCACGCTCTGATTCCAGCAGGACTACCTCTCCCAGCCACCCTGTCAGCAAAGCCCCATCCTACATACTATTTGCTCAGCAAAGGGCTCTAGAGAAGGAAAGGATGCCCCACCCCCACTGGACCCTCAACTTTCTCCCCCTGCACATCTGCCTTCCCCTCGGGTCCAGATGTATCCTTTCACCACTGTTAGAAACATCCAACACTCAGGCCTGTGAGTGCTACAGGATTTCCCTTGTAAACTGGCTTAGAATTCTGTGTCTACTACACAGCTGTGCGACCTAGGACATGTTACTTGGAGACAGACTTTCATCTGAAAAGTGAGAGTAAACAAAATAACCACCTTGTAGAGTCTGCTTTAAGGACTGAAGGACATAATGCATGTAAATGTGCCCTGCCCTGTGGATGATGTTTTGTAGGTATGTTGTAAGTGCTGGCTTCCTGGGCCCTTAGCCGCTGCTAGGCCTTGGCCGAATTCCGTCTTGTTAATACAAGGGTAAGTTCTTTTTTTTTTTTTTTTTTAATTTTTAAATTTTATTTAATTAATTTTTTTATAGAGCAGTTTTTATTAGTCATCCATTTTATACACGTCAGTGTATACATGTCAATCCCAATCTCCCAATTCATCACACCACCTCCCCCCCCGCCGCTTTCCCCCCTTGGTGTCCATGCATTTGTTCTCTACATCTGTGTCTCAAGTTCTGCCCTGCAAACCAGTTCATCTGTACCATTTTTCTAAGTTCCACATATATGCGTTAATATACAATATTTGTTTTTTGCTTTCTGACTTACCTCACTCTGTATGACAGTCTCTAGATCCATCCACGTGTCAACACACAATGACCTAATTTCGTTCCTTTTTATGGCTGAGTAATATTCCATTGTATATATGTGCCACATCTTCTTTATCCATTCATCTGTCGATGGACACTTAGGTTGCTTCCATGACCTGGCTATTGTAAATAGTGCTGCAATGAACATTGGGGACAAGGGGTAAGTTCTTTACAGAGGCTGAAAATGCACATCACCCTGGAAAAGAAACTACAATGGCTTAAATCACCCTTTGTTGTCAAAGATCCAAGGAAAAGACTACTAAGATGGAGATTTGATAGAGACAGAGAGAAACAGGAGGGCATTTCACCCTGAGGGAGGGTGGGAGCTTTGAAAGAGGAGGCCAAAAACATTAAATGTGACAGTGAAATACCAAAGGTTTCTCATGAAGTCAAGAACAAAACAGGGATGCCTATATCAGTGGCATTATTCAACATTGTTCTGGAGGTTCTAGCAAATGTAGTAAGACAAGAAATAAAAATATTGGTAAGGAAGAGCAAAATCATCACAATTTATAATGGTATGTGTGTTTACCTAAAGAAATCCAAGACAGTTCATTTTATTTATTTATTTAAATTCACTCTTTTTTTAAAAAAAATAATTTATTTTTGGCTGCGTTGGGTCTTCATTGCTGCATGCGGGCTTTCTCTAGTTGTGGCGAGCAGGGGCTACTCTTCATTGCTGTGCGTGAGCTTCTCATTGCGGTGGCTTCTCTTGCTGCGGAGTACAGGCTCTAGGCGTGCAG